CTCGGGATCGTCCAGACTAATAATTAGTTAACTAACTTGTAAAACTATTTAACTTACCGATTCCAGATTTCGTGTGAGTTATTAGACTGTGATAAGGAATGAGAGGATGCGATGCCAAAACGTTCTGGTAATAATAACGCAGTTTATAAATGTTTAATTCAAAAGTCATAAATAAACTTCTTCTGTTTATAACTTTTGATCTAATCAATATTTTTTTACGCTCGGGAGCTAGTTTTGTAGGCCTTTTGAAGAGGAAAAAAAGTTATAAGTGAAAAACGTGAATTTACGAAAAAAATATACAATTAACCACCCTATAAACAATCTTCCCCCCATTTTTATGACTGGAAGCTAATATGTGATTGTACATAATATTTAGCATATTTCCTGGCCTAAATAATGACATTTGTACACCACACAATGAACAACGGGTGGTGTCAAGATAACAAATTATTTTTCATTAATAGTTCATTTAAGTGTATGTGGCGTGAATATCTCATTTAGACAGACGCCAGACCAAGAACTCCGCGAGGAATTCTCAATGCACGGCTCGACAAAACTGCCTGCTATGCGAAGGAAATCTGTGACGTGTGTTAACTGTAAACCGCAAATAGGAAAACAAGGCACATATCTGGCCTTTTGTAGTAATCGTTGTCTTAAAAAAAACTAATGGTTCTGAAGAAATGAAAACAGCTATTTATCGACACAATTTTTTTTATAAGAATATGCCGAACACTCAGAGTGGCTTTAGAACTGGATAAATTAACCTAATAATTACATTACATAATAATGAATAGGAAACTATAGTATAGGTTCATCCGGCTCCTAACCTTGAAGGTTAACTAGTGACTAATCTCAGGGCCTAATAGGAACGCCAGCTGTTTTATTGAGCTTTGGGCTAAGCAATATAGTATAGTAAGCGGTAGGTAGTAATAAAATTCTAAAAATTCAGTATGTTTTTACTCACAAGCCGCGAATGACACGCACGAAATGAAGACGATGACGTGTCTTTGGCGGGGATTGCCCTTCAATCCATTTCAGCCAATAATTTCGCAGCAGCACGTCTTGTTCATCGTTTACACGACTGGAATATGCAAGTTTACTTTATATCTAATTTTATATGTTAACAGGGTGGTAGACGGGCAAAAAAGAAACGGTCGACGTTAATTCGATGAAACGAGAATGGTCGAATAAGCCATCGCTTCATTTTATTACATTTATTGGTTTTAAGTGTATCATGGAGTTGCTTGGAAAATTTTAAAAGCTAAAGTATAAATTAGTGGCAATTACTAAAACATACAGTTGCAGCTCGACGAGCAGCTATTGATTTTTTATGTTTGCATAATGGCAATTACTGGTGCATTAATATTTTAATATTATCCAATTTTTCCCGAGCCTCTTCAGACAATGTCTCTTTTATAAAAGCAATTACTTGTACATTTATGAATAATCACGTCAATATTATATATAATTAATTTACATTCGTGCATTAGTAATTTTTTTTTAGGCTCACCGCAGACGTTTATATTTTATCGTGAATACTTATAGTGTTTTTTATTTAATTATAGTTTTCTAGACATATTGAGAATTGAAGATTAATACAAGTTGCTGAAATAATTTAAATTTCACAATATTATTGACAATGTTGCTTTGACATTAATATTGCATGTGTGCGGTTAAAGGTAATCAATTATATCAGTATATATACGGGGTGATTCAGTCGTAATGTCATTAATTTTAAGGGAAAATAGGGAAGAATATTTTCAAATCATTATTTAAACCCCTTTTCACTATTAAAAGCACATTAAAAGCTAGGTTAGTGACCGAATACGATAAGTCAATATTCACTCTCGACAAACCTTTAACAAAGGTTATTAATTATTCAGTTTGTAGTACGTATACCTTATTGTGAGGCTTATTGCTTTTCAAAGAGTAGTATGGTACCTACCTATTTAAAATGCCAACACGGTTAAAACAGCACTTTGTTATAGTCTGTTTAGAAATGAGAGTAATAAAAGCTTATTATGTATGCAAATCGTAAATAAATGTAGTACTGGTGCTTATATTCAATATTTTTATACTATGTATTTTCCGTATAGATGAGGTGTACTTTTAAAAAAACTTTGTGTGATCGACTGTACTAAATTGTAGCAGGTAGCTAAAATTTAATCCCCGACAATCCGTCTTTGTCTATGCCGCTTCAATTTCTCGGTCCATTTCTCTTATAAGTAAACAATATAAAAACAGCATTTCAAAACATGAGGCTACTTTAAGCATCATAACCGGGTTAAGAGGGTTTTTAGTAATTCAAATAAAATTATTCAATATTATTATCAAAATATTTATTTAAATTTAATGAATAGACTTTTATTCCACACAAAAATATATGTATTTTGAAAATTCAAATTATGGTGAGTAAATGTAGTGTTGTATAAATGTACAATAAAGAAAATAAAAAAGTAGGTATATTAAAATTCATCCTCTGAATATTCTGATGAATTATCTTCGTCTCCTAGATTGATAACGATAGGTTCCACAGTAACGTCAATTAAATTATCGAGTTCCCACATTTTCTCCTCTTCTTTTTGTACATGATGTATACATCTTTGCCAGTTATCTGCAGTTACTCGTTCCAAGGAATTTTTTAACAAAATTTTCACGTCACTTAATTTAAACGTCGTATTATTTCGCGCTACATCTCCTTTTACCTGCGCCCAGACTAATTCGATTGGGTTAAGTTCACAGTGATAAGGTGGTAACCGTAGTACCGTTATTTGGCGATTTGTTGCCATTTCATCGATAACATATTTTTTCTGATCTTTATTAAGATTGACAAGTGTCAAAAGTTCCTTTTTCACCATATTTGTTTCAAAAGAAATGTTTTTTCCGGATAACCATTGAATTATATCGGCTTTCCTCCAAGCAGTCGTAGGCGTCCGCTCGGTCTGCCGTGAATGGTAACTGGCATTATCCATGACAATTACAGACCCCGGAGGAATAAGATCCAACATCTGTGTAAAATACTCTTCGAAAACATCTGCGTTCATGTCTTCGTGATAGTCACCTGTATTTTTAGATTCAAATAAAAGTAAACCGCCATCTACAAAACCACTGGCACTACCTATATGTGTCACTATTAATCTTCGCCCTTTACCTGAAGGTGCCTTGAACCCTGTTGAAAGTCCATCCAAAAATGCTTGTCGAAAACTTTTTACATTTTTATCTTGCCATACTTTTGTTACAGTATATCCCTCGTTGACCCAAGTTTCGTCTAGATAATAAATATTCCTCCCTTCGTCACGGAATTTTCTAATTGATCTTAAGTAGGATCTTCGCCAACAAATAATTTCATCTTTATCGATAAGAACTGACTTCCTGTTCTGCTTTTCCCAGCAAAAATTCAACTCTCGTAAGACGGCCCATAATTTGCTTCTACTGATTTTTGGCAAATCGTTGTCCTCTGAAAGTTCACTTAAAATTTTGTTTAGCGTTGGTATTTCTTTTTTAAAATAAAATGAGTGTACTTTTCTGCGAATGACATTTTTGAAGAAATCATCTATAACGACTTTTGACCTCCCTGTAGATGATTTTGGGGGATTTACAGTATCTTGTTCATTTTTTGTTTCCTTTAAAAGTCTGTAGATAGTCGATTTTCCAATCCCTGTCATTTTTGTTAGCACTAGTGTTACCCGATAATTACCTGAAACGAAATATTACCACGCCCATGGCCGGTTCTTATCTCGGGGTTTTATTACTCTCTTTCATTTCCAAACAGACTATAATAAAATGATCATCCACTACATTTTGATTTTGAAACCAATTGCAACATTTAGGAACGACTGAGGAAATCAGCTGTTTCTCTTCAACGTTCGAACGCTCTGTGATGCGCCGGCATGTTCCCAGTCAGCAAATATGATGCAAAGTAGGGTGTAAAATTAAGGGAATTAAGGAGAAATTGCTTATTTTTAAAAGGTCGAGTAAAATCACCCTGTATATATTTTCTTTTTCTTTACAGTGCGTGCGTTTAGGATCATTGCTACTCTTTGTTCTTGAAAGACTTGATAGAAATTAGTTGTCTTTAGAAATGAAACTTAAAACTGTTATTATATCAGTCTAGTTTATAGCGTTGTTGCAATGCTGTTGCTCAAGTTATTTTCTTTAATATATAATGTTGGTCAACTGTGTTGCAATAAGTTATAAGTTATTACGAATTTATCAGTTTTTGTACTAATGCTACATTCAAGTTTAAAATTACATAATGATAAAATTTGGGTTACAAATATTATAATACTAATTAATAGTTTATTGGTTTTTCTGAATAAACAACGGATTCAGATATCGGATGCCCTAATATTCCGTGTATGGGGAACTACGACAGATTTTTCAAAATAAGCTGATTTAGCTGAAATGTTCTGTATTCGAATTTGTTTCGTTTAGCCGAAAAAGAACGTCACAGTTGGCAAAATTAGTTTTTCTCAAATAACTAATAAAAGTAAAAAATTATTGCATTCGTAACATTTTATTCTGTAAATAACTGTGATTATTGACAATACAAGGTTGACAATACATTTTGCATAAAAACAAGAACTGAACAAGAAACAGTATCAGAAATTTAAATTGGAAAAAGCATTTTCTAGGGTTACAAAATCGTGAAAACTAAAATCTTTTTTCAAGTCCAATGCCCGCTAACGACTAAACCAAGTAACTTTAGACATACTTCTTATTTTGACTCCAAAAATATGTGGCACTTCCATATACCTACAAAGAATATTGGGACACCTTGTATATAGGAAAATATTAATTATAGTTTTGATCTGTTTGATATGTTCACTAAAAGTTATTTAATTTTTGTTTAGTTGGACACCTGCTTGTAATAAAAATCAAACATTCCTTGGATATCGATTTATTTAACAAGATGCAAGAAATTAAGTTAGGTGCGGAAATAAAAACACAAAATCATCCTTTCTGCTTACACTATTAGTAAGTCATCTGTTTTGTTATAGGTTTAATCCACCGCGTCCACAACAAGCAAAAGACTGAGCCCACAGAAAAGAAGACGTACAAGAAAACCTTCGAGGGCCCCAGACAGAGACCCAGCGATGGTAAAACGTTACACGGTATTGTATGTTTTGTAGTTATTCAGATTGATTTTTGTTGTAGCCGATACTATTCAGCGTATGTTGGCAAATTTACCGGCGAAGAGATCTACAAGGAAACTTATCTCCCTCCAGGATGGCATTTACCGAGCTAGGAAAACTACGCAAAACATAAAACAAAACAAGGTGAAATGCGGTAAAGTAATCTACAAGAGTTCTACTCGTAATGAAACGACAGAAAAGACCATCAACACGACGCCAACAATATCAAAGTCACAAATTAATTCGTCTTCGAGTCGGAGATCTTTGAGGAACTTGAACAAAGTTCTAGTTAGTCGAATCTTGGACACTAACACGACTTTGAATGTCAAAAGGAAAATCAAAGCGTTAAACGATAGACGCAGGACAAGACAATCTTTATTGGAACAAGAAAACATTAAGGAAATAATAAACGATGAAAATTTAGAGCAAATCCTTACAAATGATTCTAGTTCTCCGTCAAAAACAAAGTCAAAGGTTCTGAAAAAAGATGAAATAGAACCTGAAGGCACCCAACCTTCAAGTAAGAGAAGCTCGCCCAGATCTAGCCCTAAAAATCTAAAGAAAATGTCTGTGAAAAAACTGCTGACAGGGAAAATAAATATCAAAAGTTTCTTCCCTGTCAAGAAAAAGAAGAACAGGAAAATACTTACGGAAAACCAAAATCCTCAAGATGTAGAGAATGCGGAAGCGGAAAATAGCGATATTAAGACTAGAAGCAAGAGAAAATTTAAAGAACCTTGCGAAGAGAAAACCGAAGAAAAAACGAATGAAGTTGCAACTGTTAAAATAGAGCAGAAGAAAACTAAGCATGAGACTTTTAGTACTCTTGTGAGATCGTTCAGTTTGAGAAAAAAGAAACTCGCGAAGAAGTCCATTCAGAACAACGCTACGGAAATATCACTGAATGATGTAAATAACAAACAGAAGAATCCCACAACCGAAAACTCAGAGGAAAACAAACAAATACCATCACAAACTGGTCAGGAGCTGGATAAATCCGTAAAAAAACGGAAACTGAAGAGCAGTTTTCGCAGTGTAATAAATAAAGTGAAAAAATTGAAAATCGAAAACACTCCCGACAATTCCGTGAAAACAGAAGACCCGAAACCTAACCCAAAAACCCCTAAAGACGGTGCTTTTTTAGAAGGAAGCAGTCTGGAAGGACCATCGGTACCCGTTCGAGTGGAAAAGGTCATCACACCTTCAACCTCCGAAACAAAAGAAAACACAGCTGACATATCCACGACTGCCCCTACTGCGATCGACTTCCACGACAGCAATGAAAATCCTCCCATCCCAGAAACCATTTTTAAGTTAGAGTTGAACAACGAGAAAAGTCTGCAGGCCAAAGGAGAACTTGACTTCGATACCCAGCCTGTAAATACCAATGTGACCAAGAGTAGTGACTGTAGCATAGAAAAAACCACCGAAACAGAATCTCCATGTAAAGAGAACGACACTGCCCTTCAAAAAACTGATAAAACTCAACCGATCAGTATAGAAACTTCTGTAAAACCCAAAGTAGTCCCACTGATATCCCCAAATATGAAGGGGAAAATTAGAAAACCTACGAGAGGCTTAAACGATTGCATAGCCATGTTAACAAGCAAGCTTCAGCAAAAGACTGTGGAGGAAAATTCTAACAAAGTCGACAGTATATTCAGTTTACTGTCCCCGACTAAAGCACCAGTTCCATTCCGAGAAAGTTACCCTCCTAAAACCGAGTGTATCTTACGAATACCCACTTTCAGAAGTCAAACGTCGTATCCCGAAATAGAAGAAACTGCTTTGGACCTCAGCACCAAGTCAATGAGACATAAAGAATTGGCAGAAGAACCTTTTGTGAAATCCTTAGACACGTATATTAATACTACTATGGTAAAAATTAATGATGTTCAGCCACATGGAAACTTTATAATCCCTACCTTTGACAGAAAACTAAAAGTTTTTAATTCAGTGGACCGCATTATCGAGGAGGTTGTTGAAAACAGGATTCCAGCCATTGTACCGCAAATTCAACAAAGGCAGTGGAACTCGGTAGACGATATCATTCAGAAAGTTATAGACGATCAACGGTCTAAAATAAAATTACCCATTAGGAATTCTGTGGATGACATAATCGACTTTGTAGTTGGATCTGAAAAAAGTACTGGGAATATAATAAATGATATCGTCAACCAAGATTTTATCCTGAATAAAGAGACGACTGTTAGAAAAATTGGTTCCATTAGGAAATCCAAGAATAAAAAATCTTCAATTGTTACTCCTGGAGAAACGGTTACTGACAGTACACCAAAAGTAGTAACGTATGTCGAGAAAGAGCCTCTCAAAAATATTACTATGACCAAATTGGATAGCACTGATACAGAAAGTTCCTTTGCTAAGAGCAATTCCTTGAAAAAGAAAAATAAACCGCAAAAATCTATCAATAACATTCAACATGTCGAATCCGAAGGGATTATACTTAATACTCCTATTTTCCTTTCAATTTTGAAGGCCACTGATGTTCCAGAAATTGCAGACAAAAATAAAACCGAGGAAAGTAACAACAGTTGCACAGTAGAAAACAGTTCCCAGCATGCCGAGTCACTCTTAAACACTGTGAAGACTCCTGAACAGATCGACCTAAAATTGAATGATGCCTTTATCGACACCAGTAAGGAAGAAACAATCGAGAAAACCAGCACTGCAAAAGTTAAGAAAGGAAATAGAAAAGTCGGTCAGATCAGAAACAGGTCCCGAGTTAAGGTGATAGAAACAAAGGTTGAAGAACCACAGAAAAAGCTTCTAGAGACCAATATAGATGCTCTACTAGACGTTAAAGAAATCAAATCAAGTTCAGAATTACAATATTCCTCAAACCTGTCTGCTAGCAACGAGAACTTTTTGACCAAAAGTGACGAGATGAAGCAGTTACCTAATGAAGATGAACCTCATCTGCTAGAAAACAAGCCCATGACTCTGCAACAGAAGCCTAACGTTCCGGCAAGTGATTCTGAGGATGACATACCACTCGCAGCTTTAGTTAAATCTGACGAAAAAGGAGCAAACCCAACTGAAGTGAAAATTAAACTTAAAACCTCATCTTGTGACGAGGTGACCGTTGAAAGGCAGAGTAACACAGATCTGGCTAATATGAACGTAAAGGAAAATAAATCTGAAGAAACAAATGAAGCCGAATCAAAAGATGAGCCAAATATTGGAAAATTGGATGCTGATCATTATAGAATGGAGGAAGTTGAAGCTGTCAGCATTAAAGAAGACCTTGCTGTCTCAGTTGCAGATAATAGTATCGACAAAACTAAATTTATTGAAAAACCAGATACTAAGAAGAATAATAATAGTGACAAGTCTCAAATCGAAGAAACAGAAATGAAAATAAACGAGAAATGTGATGCCAACAAACAAAACCAAATTAATGATATAATTGGTACAAACTTGTCAACAATCACACAAGTTACAGAACTTAGTGATGATAGGCAGGGTTATGTTACAGATGGCAAAGTTTTTGGTGTTTCTCAAAATACTGACAGTTTAACATCAACTGTGGATCTTCGTGAAGATAAAACTTCTCCAGAGTCCTCACTTATTAAAGAAAAAGAGATTCTTAATTCTGAATCAGTAGTTGTAAAGGAAACTATAAAAAAATCTAGAGCTTTGAAAAAAGAAACCAAAAGTGTTTCCCAACCACTTAATGATACAATACAAACAAAATTGATATCAACACCAGATGAACAAGCCAAAAATGTGGATCTATTAGAATCCGAAACAGAAAAATCATCTAAAACGAAGCTGACTAATGATGGAGATTGTTCTAAAATAACCGATTTTGACGAAAATGTTAAAGAGGATATAAAGAATATTACAGAAATATTTAAGAAAGAGGCCAGCCAATCTGTAAAGAAACCTAAAAATAGAATGAATAAAAATAAATTTGACGTTTCTAACAAATCTTTGTCAAACAATCCCTTAATCGATATGATTAATTCTAAGGTTATAGAGGAACTTACGGTACAATTAAAACCATTAACCCAATCAGATCAGTACTCATTCAATATCCCCGATTTGAAAAGAAAGTCAGAATTAAATATTTTACTTGATACCATTCCACTTGAGGACAGCACAGAACAGGAGCTGAAACCAGTATTAAGTCGATCAGACGAAATTTCTCCCAAAACAAAAACGAAACTCGTAAAATCCAAAGCAAAATTGAAAGCTATGAAAACAATGGCTCACGATAACTTGAAGTTTCCAAATGACACCATGAACAGTAATATAATTGTCGCAAGTTGTGGAAAAATAGAACCAGAACAGAGTAAACAAATTAACACTGACGAAGATCAAACCCTTCTGATAGAAGATGAAATTCCTTTAAAAAAATTATATCAGAACGTATGTAATAGTATTGCACAATCAAACAAGATGTCAAGAGAATCTGAAGACGTCGATAGAGAAATAGAAAATATTTTATTCTCGACTAAGAGAACTGGTTCTTCAAAGAGGAAAAATGTGAAAGACCCCCTGGAAAACACAATCGCAGAGAAAATAGATGCAAATGATTTGATTTGCAACAAAACAATACATGCAAAATGTGCTGAGGCCGAAGAAAAAAGTAATACAAAAAAATCTAATGAAATGAAAAATATTTTAGATACAACTACTAATATTAATAAATCAAGTACTGATGATGAAGCATTACCAATCTATCCAGAAATGAACGTAGCATCGAAAAAGTCACCAAAAGAATTGAAACAGCCAGTGATGAAAAATTTAGAAATAACATTAGAATTGACAGATGTGACGAAATCAGTATTTTCACTTTCAACGAATAAAAACGACGTGTTAAGTGAAAAGACAATTAAGATCAAAAAGAAACGTCAATCGAAGTCTGTTAATAAAAAATCTGCAGAAGTTAATGATGATAACATCGTAAAAAACAGTTCTGAAAGTGATGAAAATGTGAATGAAAAACCTGTTGAATGTATTTCAAATAGAACCAAAACCGAATCTGATAGGTTGAACAGGTCAAGATCCAGATCCATCAAAAATACATCAGCTTCAGATGTTACTTTATTACCGGAGCAGACAAACACAATTGATATTACATTCACTTCACCAACCAAAGATATTAATGGAGAGTCGATTGGAAATAGTGTATTCAATTCGAAATCTAAAGATTTCACTGAAGTCGAAAAAGATAAAGACTTCAGTAGTACTTTGGAAGATAGTTCTAATATAAATAAAACGGATATTACTTTAGAAAATGCTGCACCTGAATTGAGACAACTCAAAGATAATAGTTCCCAACTTATGGTAAAAGGAAAAGTAAAGCATAACAGGCATTCAACTAAAACAAAAACCCCAAAGAAACCAAAAGCAAAATGTAAGATACCCCAAATAGACCTAGAGCTTCCCAAACAAATTATATCTAATGATGTTGAGAAAGCTCCCGTTGTAGCCATAATTGACCTTCTCGTTGACAACACAAATTTATCTACCATGGACAAAGAAACTAATAAAAACTTTGATCCACCCATCGATCCTCAGATAAAAGAAAATACCAGTGAAAATACACCTGATAAGGTCAATGAGGAACCTCCCATTAAAATCGTTATCAATAAACAGAAAACAAGGAGAAAATCGAAGAGCTTCAAAAAAATTGACCTGAAGGGACAAAACGATCTGTTCAAAGACTTTGCCCTAGTCATCAAGAAACCAAAACGGGTAACGCCTATAATCGCATACACACCTGCGGATACGTTTTCCAAAGATATTTATCCGAATTATCTGAAAAAACCTGTTGAAGAACCTGTACCCTTACCGAAAGTTGACACTGAAAATGAAGCAGATGAAAATTTTGCTGAATTAGATTCTTCAGTCGAAGAAATGGACATGGAACTCGACGAGATCCCCTTCACTTCGAACATTATAGAACGTGATACCAAGAGTTTTCTACCTCCGGTTACAGAAACATTTAGTAACGCGGAAGTGGAGGCTTTCGTTGAGACCCTGACAAAATTAGAAAACGATAAACTAAACATTGAAGAGAAGAACACCAGAACGGAAAATAGTATAAAAGATGTTGCGATCGAAGAACTGTTTTTGCCTTCGGAAAAAGATTTGACACTACCGACAGAAGCGGAGGTAGAGGAATTCTTGTATGAAACCAACAGAAAATCTACCAGAAATAAAGACATTGACACTGAATCTCCCAATAAGAAGTGCAAGATGGATTCGGATAATAAAAATAAGACTCTAGATAATTCTTACCAGAATGTGCAAGACCTAACAAAACTTGATTTAATTTCTGGGGATGTGGATGAGAAAAATGAAGACGCCATAGTCCCAACTCTAGTAGTACCAACTGTAGAGAGTGACGCTGATAAATATGCTGATAATACAGTTGATGCCTTGATAATCAATTGTGACACTCAAAGTATGGAAGATGAAGGGAAAACGAACACAAAAAGATCAGCCAGCAAGAAAAAGAAATCTAAAAACAGTAAAAACATGAAAGTTAAAGCTCCGTTTACTAATATGGAACCAGAAAATATAAACGCTAAACCAGTTTTTTCTCCAGTAGAACCGTCACCTGCTTTAAATTCCGACGTCAAAGAGCATAAACGAAAGAGGTGCAAGTCAACAACGATCGATGAAATTTATCCAACTGCAAATGACGAACTGAAGGATTTAGGCAAAAACTCAAACAAGCTGAAGGATATAGACAGCATATATGCTTTCTCCGAATCAGAGGACTTTGAAATTGAAAAACCAATAGAAAAACCAAAGAGGCCTCTAAGGAAACAAACAAAGTCGTTGTCTGAATCCGTAAATACAACCACCGATGATTTAGTCATTGATAATTTGTTGCCTTCAGTTTATGAAGCCACCTCGAAGCAATGTCCGAAGGACCTAAAACCTGATGGTGAATATAAAGAAACAGAAATTACAAAATCAAGTTCTGCCAAAAGAAGGCCTAGGTTGTGCAATTTCATCTCTGAGCAAAATACAGTTGGTGAAATTAAGGAAAATGACGTTAACATAGAAGAAGAGAGCAGAAAATCTGTAAGAAGCGCGAAAGTAAAAGCTTTAGAACATATCCATGATGACGCTCTGGCTGAGTTAACAGAAAGCGAAAGAAACAGGGACCTAGAAAAGGATAAAAATAGTACGATCGATGCTGCTGCAGAGGAAATAATCAAAAAAAGGGTTAGTAGAAGGCAAAACAGGTCCCAGAAATCTCAGATAGTGGAGGATTTGAAAGTATCTAGCGATTCTGAGTTGATTTCTAGCGATAACCAAGTATTAGATCCAGAAGAGAGTGCCGGTGAAAATGTAGAGGAATTAATAAAGAAAAATAACGATAATCCTATCGAAGATGAGACGGTGGTACCTTTGGAGAAAGAGTCAAATCTAAATGAAATTCTTGCCCCACAACAAATTAAAGAAACCTTAGACCAACCGATCAAGAAAAAGAATAACAAGAAAACCAAGGCAAGTAAAACACAGAAAACCAAAAAATCAATTGATATTTTCGAAATATCACCGGAGGAAGCAGAAAAATCTTTGCTACTCAAAGAGATAGCTGGAGACCTGACAGGTTTGGAAGAATTAGAGAATAGCATTGAAAAGGAACTTAATGCAGAACCTGAGGTCAAAAATATTTCCAAACAGTCGAAGAATAAACCAAAGCAAACTGAACCAGTAGTCGAAAAACCAAGTGAATTGCTTGATGGAAAAACAAGCGAACAGAGCTTCCAAGGAAACGACAACGCCGACTTACCGATGGAAGACAACAACCAAGAACTGAGGAGGAGCAGAAGGGGTTCCAGGAAAATAGCCTCGTACAACGAAAACGATCTTATCGATCCTCTACTCGATGAAATAGACGGCAAGAAGAAAATAAGGAAGAAAGAGAAAGCAGTGATTGAGGAACTCGAAAACAAAAGCCAAAGGAAAGTGAAGGAACCAGAAAAAAAATTAAATAGCGAAGAGTTGTTCGACCTGTTAAAAGCTTCATCTACTGAGAAGCCTCAGACTGCATTCGGCAGTAATGCAGATGATTTCTCCAAAGAGTTAAATGACCCAACTTTACAGAATGCATTAGAAAGCATCCTTGATAGCACGGATAAAAGTAAGGAGGGAAAAAATGTGGAAAGTATTTACGAATTCACCGATAGTCCTGAAAACGTTGAACAACCCAAAGACAGTATTTCAACATTAGATGTTACAAGGAAACAAAACAAAAAAGTCGCTAAACCTGCACAATCGAAATCTCAAGCAGAAGGAAACCTTGACTCAGTCTCCATTAATGATCCAATTCCAGATATTACAACACTTGTTCCCTCAACACCGGATATACTCGAGTTGAGTATGGAAAGTAAAACAAAAAGTCTCAAGTGCGATAAAGCTGAACCTACGGATAAATCAAACTATTGCGAAATTTGCAACAAGAAATTCATCAGGACAGATAATCTGGTAAAACACAAACGTACCTTGACGCACATCCAGAAGCTCTCGGAAATCGAGGCCAAGGAAGCCGCTCAGAAATCACAACCTCACGAACAGTCAAATAACTCTTCTAAAACGTCAACTTCCATCATTGAGATAACATCGGACTCGTCCAAAGTAACAGAGAACTTGTCCAAGTCCGATATAAGTATCCACGATATTTTGCAGGAATCCGATAAGCCCAATCGACAGGAACACGTCACTGACCACACTGCATTCCCAAACAATCACTCTCTGAAGTTAGCAGACATTATTAATGACGTTTTAAATAAACCCGTTCTCGAGGGCGACGACAAGCACAATAGTTTCTCTGATATCATAATGCAGAACAATGCGGAGATTCAACCCGAATACCGACGGTACAAGAGCCTAGGCGAACGTAAAAGCTTCGATTCAGAACCCATGAACGCTGAACCTCGACCAGTACCGATGCCAGAGCCCTACGTTTCCAAAACGACCATCTTAGAGAAACAGATAAGCCTTCTAGAGAATATCATAGAAAACCAAACGGGAGTAAATTATATCGATGACATATCGATGTCCTCAAATAATTCCTTAGAGAACAACGTATTGATCAGCCCCTCTGAACTGAGTTTGAAGCAAGACGATTCAAACACCTACTCGAGAATTAATCTGACGAAACCGAACACTAACGATGAGAGTTTCCTTAAACCTTCGCAGTACGAGGAAATTTCCGAAGACAGCGTTAATTTACGCAGTTACGAGGATCAGAAGCTAAGAAAAACCCTAAATAGGGACGAGGAATTATTTTTGGAGTGTTGTAGTTTACTTAAAAGCGGTTCGGAGATGTCCAGCTATTCGAATAAGAAATCTCAAAATAAAGTCCTGAATACCATGGGTTTGAAGCAGTGCGACGAACCCGAGTGGTTGGAACGGAAAAGCTTGGTGGAAAAACCGTTGTACGATGTGGGGAACGAGTATTCCGATAATTCAAGGATACCAACTCCGCTGGGAGACAGCTACGATGACGACGCGTCGAATTCCAACACGATAACGTCGAACTGGAACATAAACAAGAAAGTTAACGTTTTTGAAGATATATCTCAAGACAAAGACGATGATGCGAATAAAAGTTTTAGCTTCCAGGAAATTTTAAACGAAGACGAAGGAAAAGATAAGGCTAAAGGCAACATATCTAAATTTGGATGCATTCTTTCAAAGACAATCGGGGTGTTGCCAAAGGTGATCAAAAGGTAAGAACGTCTTTATTCAGTAACGTAGAGGGTGTATGCCAAGTTTTGGCAAACGATTTCTGAGTAGATTTAATTTGAGATATTGCCCAGGTTGAAAAAATGTAAGGTTTATATCAATTTTCACATAATACTTCAATATGGTGTTTTTTCCAATGTGTCCAAATGTGTTTGTAAATTAATGATCACATCATACAAAAAAAATTTTACTTTTCATGCGACATATGTTATCTGTAGTAACACAAATCCGGTGTCAGAATTGAGCTATCGCATCACAGGAATTTTCTAACCTCAAAAAACATGTCAAAAATTGCAAAAATTCACGAAAAAGTGCTAGGAAATATACAAAAAAAAAATGTGTTTCTATATTCAAATGTTCATTTATATGGTTAAGACCTCGCCGAACGTGAATCCGCGGTCCGAATTGATGGTTCTTTTTCTAACCTCAAAAAAATGGGTCAAATATCATGAATTTTCAAAAACTAACAGATTCGCGCCAAATTTAGTATACGGGTGTTTTCGAGGTCGCTGATCACGAATTCGAGGCCGCCGCCATTATTCCATGGCTAGAAATTGGCCTCAATGATTTGGGATCGAGGGGGATTATCCCTCTTTATCCTGCCTCATCTCGTGTAGGCCTGGACAGCCTTCGTAGGTGGGCCCCATCCGTCGTTTACCCCGACCGCAAATGCGGCCGGTGTAGGCGCTTTGTGGGACCTCCTTTTGTCCTGGCTGGGCCCCGCCGGCTAGGGCCCTTTCTTCTGGCGCTCTTCTTGCTTCGCCGGCTCGTCTGTGTAAACCCTGGGGGTAGTGTCATGTTTATGTGTGGTATGGTTGGGGAAGTCGAGGTCAATTTTGCAAAATTCAAGATGGTGGCTGACCAAATTTTTAAAAAATAACACATTCGCGCCAAAGAGTGACCGAAAAATTTTCTAAAAATATCCAAAAACTCGTCATGAAAAATAAAAATGAGCATCTGTTTTTCGAAAATTTTCGAAAATCACCCTTATTTAGGGGTTGAAAAGACAAAAAAGTGAACAAATTAAGAATAATCAACAGTTTCAGCGACCCCGAAAACAACCGTATACCAAATTATTTGGCGGGAATCTGTTATTTTTTGACCCCAAATATTTCTATGTTATCAAAATAATATAAACGTGAAAATATCTAATTTCGTATTTGATACGGTCTTGTCCGGATTGAAAATCAACCCTTAATATCCCTAAAGGGGTGAAATCATCCCCTAAATGCCTAAAAATGCAAAAAATGTATTAAAAGTTACAATTTTTTTGTTTTTCTTTTATACGTGATAATTGAACCCTTAAAATAACACACAACAGAAATATTTGGGGTTTTACAATTATTGTTGATGATTCTTAATTTGTACACTTTTTTGTTCTTTCGACCCCTAAATAAGGGTGATTTTCGAAAATTTTCGAAAAACAAAGTGATGCTCATTTTCATTTTTCATGACGAGTATTTGGATATTTTTAGGAGTTTCCCTGTTGCCTCTGTCAGAGTCTCAAAAACAGGCGGAAAAATGTTTTTTTTTGTGGTCACTTTGGTATACGGAGGTTTTCAGGGTCATTGATCACGAATCCAAGATCAGATTTATAAAATTTGTTTTTAAAAATTTAATCGATTACCTATGTAATTTACATATTACGTGAAATTAGGCAGAAAACCTGTGAATGAATAGATCTTTTACAGAAAAAAGAACAAGCTATAGCCGAAAAAAATAAGGTTAAAAACATGATTGGATACTCAGGTTATAAAGTAAACAAAAGTATTTACAAAATGAATTTCGCAATTCTGACCTCAAATACGTAATCAGCGACCACGAAAACTCCCATATACTAAATTTGGCGCGAATATTATTTTTTGAAAATTTGGTCGGCCATCTTGGATCCGCCATTTTGAATTTTGCAAAATTGATCTCGATTCCGTGATCAGCGACCCCGAAAACCTCCGTATATCAAATTTGGCGCGAATGTGTTATTTTTTGAAAATTTGGTCGGCCATTTTGGATCCGCCATCTTAAATTTTCCAAAATTGATCTCGGATCCGTGATCAGCGACCCCGAAAACAACCGTATACCAAATTATTTGGCGGGAATTTGTTATTTTTTGAAAATTCGTGTTACCTGACCTTAATTGATCCGTTTTTTTGAGATTCAGGTTGGATGGGGTCCTAACCATATAAATAAACATTTGAATATAGAAAAGATTTTTTTTGTACTTTTCTTAGCACTTTTTCATGAATTTTTGCTATTTTTGACCTGTTTTTTGAGGTTAGGAAATTCCTGTGATGTGATAGCTTAATTCTGACACAAGATTCGTGATCAGGGGGTAAAAATACTATGGATGACATATGTTGCATGAAAAGTACAGATAACTCTTTTTTTGTAAGGCCGAGTAATTTACTTAAGAATGGCAAATAAATTGAAGTTATAATGTAATACTGTGTGTTAAAATTTTTCCCTCAAAAGTATACAAAAGCAGTAAATCTCTTAATATTGACTTTCATAAAAAAATAAATATATCAGTCAAAATAAATGAATATTCTTTAGGATTTGAACAATAAATCTTCTGTACTTCCAAAAATATACTGCTTTCCATATAGGTTGAATGAAGTTACTCAATTTTTTTCCAAGAATAAAACTAAACAAATTTAATGATGGGCACTTCATAAACATTGATCGATTTCAACTACAATAATTTTTAAAAATTACATGAATCTATGAAATTCCTCGTTCTCGTTTTTCTGGTTTTCCAGCTTGGTGTACACCTTGAATAAAATTGTAGAAATCAAATCCATTCTCAAAAAAATACAACCGGATTTCTTTTTAGAACATCAACTATTCCCGTGGATGAGCCTTGTGGAAAGAAACACGAGGAACTCAGTGACGGATCTACCAGCGAGGGCAAGAAAATAATCACCAAGGGGGCCAGAAAAGTTTTTGAAGGCCTTAAAGTATCCATACCCACAGAAGAACTGAACTTGGAAGAAGTATTAAATTGTAGCCTGAAATCAAAGAAACTAGATGTTGCCAGTATTCAAAATTTAGCAGAAAAATCGATAGAACAGTCCTTATCGTCGGCTAAACCACCCAGAACGGCTAGAAAATCCAAACCAGTCAAGAATAAGTCGCAGTTTGGGAGCAACCTATTGTTCAAAATGAAGAAGAAAAAAGTCGCATCTCCCACCAGTACAAAAAATAAAAGCGATGACGTCAAAGCGCACGATATCTACGACTTCGAGGAAACCCAAGATAACACAGACGTGTTCACAAAACCAGATTTTCGTGCGTTCCGGAACATGAAATCTAACGAAGCCGTTTTGGAACCAGAGAGCGACACAGATAGCAGAGACTACTTGGACTCTTTCAGTTACGAGGCTCAATCGATCACTTCAAGTATATCTTCATCGTCCTCGAAGAAACCTAAGACTCAGGAAAACATAACGAAGAAGAAATGCATGATAATGGGAAGAATATTTAAAAACGCGGCCAAGTCGAAAATCGAGGACATCGACGAGGAAATCAGAGACATTCCAGCATTAGACAATTGTGAATTGGTGGAAAGCTACGTAGCGGACTGTAAGAAGATAATCAGAAACGAAGAAGTGGTAAAACCAAAGTTATCGGAAAAAGAAATCAACCAACTGTTCGATCAGTTATTAGAGGACAGATTGAACGGTCAGGACGCCAAAACTACGGAATTGAAAACCTGCGTGAAACCTAAAATTGACGTCACGAAAAAGACTGATAACAAGAAAAAAGCAAAGCCGAAAAACAAGAAGAGAACACGCACCAACTCGGATTCTACGGACGACGAGTTCAGCCTGAACAAAACTAGCAAGAAACGAGCGTACAGGAAAAACGCGAAAGCCGAGGACAACTGCATCAACCTCGAGCAAGAACTCAAAGAGTGTATCGGCGTTGCCAGCAGGAAAAGCCAGAGGAAATGTACCAGTGGCAAACAAAACGTTTTAGTCGAATATTGGAGCTCGGACGATTCCCAATTCGAGGCGCTACTAGAAACTCAAAGGATAGAAGCGAAACAACCTGCCAAAGTCGCGGAAGCGAATGAAACCGTAGAACCCGAACCACTGCCGCAAGAACCAGAAGTAACAGTGGAAAGTAACCCCGCGCCACCCGACAAGCTACCGGATTTGAATGCTTTGGAAAAGCACAAACTAAAGAGCCTCGAGAAGAAACCTCATCAAAAAAGAAAACCGTCGGGTGAAAAGAAATGTACCGCACCCGGCGCCGAGAAAACTTCCGATTCCGTGATGTCGAACAGGCGAAAAAGAGCAGCCGTGAATCCCCTTTACCACTGGTCGAGCTCATCGGAAGACGAGTCCCAAGACCTCATCGAGGTGAAGCCCTTGAGGGAGGAGTTGGAGGACGACGAGGACAGGCCCATACAGCACGGGTGGATAGTTGGCGATTCGCCAAAGAAATTAGTTACGATGCTAGCTCAAGCGAAGGGTAAAAAAACTGATATAGACTGTGTTAAGGAACAGGGAAAGAAACGGACTAATGCAGTTAGTTGACGGTAAATAGTGAAATGTTTTTAGTTGGTGCATTTATTGAGGACTAGAGAGCAAACGTACACGCGCTGGAAGTATTCGCCGGTCTAATGTAATTTTGTTAGTGATTGGCGGTTTGTTTATTTTTTATTTTTTTGGCTAAATCGTTCTAGAAAGGGATCTATGATTATTTTGCGGATAGATGTGGGAGCAGTATTTTGGGACAAAGAAAATTAAAATTGGATTAAAAGCGGTACTAAAAAATAATTAAGTCGTGGCTGAAATATACTCCGGATGTGTGCAGGAAACGATGCTCTCTAAAAATAATGAACACTTAAGATTAGTGCACTACGAGGTAAATTTACAAATTACGCTAGGGCTAAATCAATGGAAAATTAAATAAAGTGTACAGATTTCTTAGTTGTAAGACTAAATTTGAGTAATGTAAGGGGCAGCTTGTGTATTACCTCTGAATGTCCATTGTGTAGTATCGTTTGATATGGCACTAAGATTTTTTCGTATTTTTATAACGTTTGTTTCTTAGAGAAATTATTTAATTTGTATTATATTTAATATCGAATTGATATCTTTTTTTTGTTAATTTTAATATATATTTTGTTTTATATTCTACATTGTTAACAAATGATTAGTTTTAAAATAGCTGCCAATATTGCCATTTTTTATAAAAATTATGAGCAGACGTATATGAATAAATTTTGTTAAAGTTTGAGGACTATTTTTTATTGGAATAATTTGTATTAATTTTTACTAGTAATTGTCGTCTTTTGTGTTCATAGTAAGTATATAGACATAATTTGTTTATACCTTATATTTGTGTAATTAGTCAATTCTAGTATAATCGGTTATATTCAGTATGTTTCTTTCGATATGTTGCTTGCTGTTTACACTGCCAAGATGTGCCTTGGGCCATTGTAAAGTGGGTCGTGATAATTATTTTTCTTTCTGTACATATTGTTGCAAATAGCATGTGTATTATAGTCGTATATATGGGAACAAAGTTAACCGGTAATTGTCTTTGTCAAACATGTATCAAGTCTTTTTAATAAACGATTCCCCCATAGGTACATTTTATTTTTCTTTTTTATTATCGCTATCTGTGATACATTTTTTAGATTACGAAATGGCGTCAAATATAATGACAAAATTATCACATACTAAAAGAACGTGCTTGAATGCCTTAAAAATTGACATGGGTCACATAAATACTTACTAAAATAACTGAAATTGTACTCACAACTGTTAGGGACTTCCCCTAGTAAAATCTCGTCCATTTGCTATTTATACTTTTCACTACACTCACCATTTCGGATTAAACCCGTGCAATTACTAATGTAACGTAAGCATTTGTGTTAAAATAAAATATTATGTCCAGCTATAGCACAAGAATCAAAATAAGTTTTCGATAAATAATTTTTCGTTGCTAGTTCAAATAATTTTCTATTTTGAATGTATTGACAAATAACGAGAGAGAAGGGAATCATCACGGAAACCATAGACCGCGGAAACGCTAGGAAACAATTTAGAGACGGAGGGTAGGTAGGAGCCAAGATGTAAAATGAGATGAAACAAGTCAACGTCACGAGACTTGGAGGAATTTTCAAGCTAAGTACGCGCGATTTCTTATATTATATTATCTGTTACGTGATATTAAAGTGTTATTGCGTATTTTGTATATAGATTTGATAGTAATTTTTTTAACTGTTGTGTTAGTACCAAAAAAGTCAATTTCATAATCAGAAATATGTAGTTTCTTTTAAGATTAATGTCGCGCAATTTGTATCCAGTGATCTAGGACAAATAGCTGTCGTTTTTGCTATTCAACATGAACAGTTACAAAGCACAGAAGTCGGATTTGGCTCCATCTATAGTATACTGTCAGTGTCAAAGTGTCAATTCTATGCTGTGAACGATTTCTCTCGGTTCTAAGCGAATAGTGGTCAGTGGCCGCCGCTGTCAGCAATATTCCATTGTGATATTGTGATAATTTCTATGGATACATTTTTATATTGGAAAAGAAAAACATTGAAAAGCTTATACGACTTGAAATACATAACCTAGGAAATTATCATCCTATCGCTCTCGGTTTCTTGATAATATAGGGTTAAATAGAGCCGGTGCGCTAAATCTAGCCTCTCCACAATATAATGACGAAATCGATAAAATAGACCAACATTCGCTAGAAATCGACATTCGACCATAAAAAGATTTAAAAAAATTGTTCCGAGATTTTTAATTTCTCCACTTTGAAAATAATAAAAATAATAAAAAATGAGACTACGCTCACGCAGTTTTCGCCATTCGATAGCTGCATCCTTTGGCTATTGGGAAAAATAATCATAATCCTATCGCTCTCGGTTTCTTGATTTCACAGTTCCTAGCGGGCAGCCGACCAGAGCACACGTGTTTTGTGAAAGTGTAGTGCAAGGAGCAAATTCTACCTGCCTTTATTAAGGCTACCTGGAAAGAATCCCTTTCTTTCCTTTTAATCACCGACCTAATCCCCGGCTTAAGCATAGACGCCGTCGGCATCTTTGTTACAGCACCTGTGCCGGGGTTATGCCCAGGTAAGTTTTTACTTATTTATCAGTTATTTGCATTACTTTAGAATACATTTCTTTAAAATTGCGACCCCCGACAAACAATATACCAGACAGACAAATACACCAAAAGACACGTACGCCCCCGTGAGGGGGCATCCCCACACGACTAACACTTACACACCTTCCC